GTGAGGCTCTCTTGGGGAGACGCAAAGGGAAGGCAGCAAGGGAAGTCAAGGCGATCACAGAACAACAATACGAAATGTTTGCCCCCTCTCCTCGCCTACGATGGGCTTATGCAGCGCCAATGGCGATACCAACACGACCAAATACACAGGATATGAGAGGGGCACAGCGTTGAGCAAAGAGCTCCGTCATTCTGACAGCGCCCTGGACTGCGATGTTGGAGGGCCTCGGGGCTGACGGGGAGTCAAGTCGTGTCTTCCTAGCCTTGGCCCTGGGGAACGTACCCCCGTCGCAATCCACTCGGGCCTATCCTTGTCTCAACCCATGGCCCGTCGCCGGTTGCGGGCGCCGAGAGTAGCAAGTGGACCAGCATGCGGTTGGACCAGGGCAGCTCACAAACACCCTACATCTCGTTTGGTCTAGCTTCTCTTCGCCAGCAGCAAAATCTCGGCGAGTGGAGGCGGACGGAGGCGGACGACAGTCCCCTGGGCGCTAACGCTTCCAGGGTCGTTCCCCAAGGGTCCCCATCAAGGCAGGGGATGAGCTTCGACCAATAATCGGGCAGATCGAGAAAAATGCGATCAAGGGAGCGAAAATATGGAAGAGCTGTGGAGCAGGGCCCAATGCCAACTCTTGCACCTGCTTCTGACCAGCATCACCAGCCCCATCGCCCGGCTTTACGCAGTCTTGCAGTCCAGTCCAGTTCAGTCCACAGGGGAGATCGACTTGCAACGGACAGAAACTTGGACGTTTGAGACAGCACCGCCCGTTTCTCTTGGTTAGGGGTGGTGTCAGTAAGCCATTACAGTGCTGCTTTCAACAAGTTCCACCATTATGACAACCAGCTTACTGAATTTCCGCATGCGCCAGTCATCAGAATGGCGTGCCTTGGACGTCTCGCCAAAGCTGTTAAAGGCGCCGAGAACCAATGACAAAGTTCCGGGGGGCCTCCGGAGGGTCGGCTCAGAAACTCTATCTGCAGAGCTCCGTACGCCTGCCCATGCTGGCTTCGGCGCGGAGGAGACCCCCGGGCCCGAAGGGCGTCGCACATGGCTGCCACCAAACCCTTTTATCTCCCAGAAACGGTCACTAGGTTTTCTCGTCTAAAGCTGCTCCCATCAAGAGCGCTGTCGACATTCAAAAAGTTGGTTACATCCAATGACACGAAACCATGGTCATTTGCAATTTGGCGGGATGGGCTTTTTGCTCTCTTCCCGTTCAAGGGCCCATCCATCCTCGGACCCTGGGCTTGTTTTTTTTTCTCTACACCCCTCCCATCGCGTCAAATTGAGTTTCTCTTGCAACCTGCGTCTGCCAGGGTTCAATGTGATGGGCGGATGCGGCTGCGGCTGCGGCTGCAGACGCAGACCTCGTGCACTCAAGAGGCATCATGGTGACCATTTCAGTAAACGCGGGCCTGATCTGGTCGCCTCCCAACAATCTCTCGGTCGTTTTGCTCCGGATTGCCAGCCAGGTTCCACGAGATTCCCGCTGAACCCTGAGGCGGGCATTCAGGGTCCCCCCACCAAGTAGACCACGGTGAAGGGACCGTGGGATAGTGTATGGTGTGCAGATACCTCTAGCCGTCGACGTCATCAAATCTCACGCATGGTTGGTGCTGGATGCGGCAGTCTGTCGGCCATATCCTCATGTTCAAGGCCGTCCCTGGGGTCCCCATGAAGGCCATCTTCGCGGGGGTGTCTATGTACCTCTGGGTCTCAACCCTTAGGCCTTTGCGACTGATCGTCCCGAGAATGCGGCAAGGAATGAGGCTGCACAGGGTCCTTCCAAATCTGTGAGCGGATAATGAGCTATCGGTTTCCCAATATGTGAACTCTCCAAGCGCGTGCCATGACGGGTATTAGCAGCCAAACGAGTGTGGTTTCCCCGGATAACTTCTTCCATGGTTCGTCCTACTGTGCTGTCTAGTCGCCAGGGCACCCGAATCTGGGACAGTGGTACAAAACCTGGCATTGGAGATGCAAGATCATGAGGCCCCGGTGTGCAAGTCTTCGGCATGACCGTTCCTCGCAAAATTGGCCTCTCTGAGCAATGGCCGCCCTGCCTTGGAAATACCGTCTCAAACGGCTTAGGAACAATTCTTGGTTTCTCCGTCTGCACGGCCACGAAGGCGTTTCAAAACTGAGTCGCTGGACAGAGTGGCCGCCAACACGACGGGACTGGATTCCAGGAGCATGGGCGTGCGCAGACTGACGGACGGCAGCCGATCTGAAGTTCGGCAGGAGAGGGAAAGGGGAGAAAAAAACGCAGACGGTCAATGCTCTACGTCAAGTTCCTTGGATGAACAAGAACGCCAGCCAGGGTCCTCTCTACCGGTCAGCGGGGCAGAATGCTGGCGGCAACGGGAAGGGCATCGGAGGGTATTAAGGGTCATCGAGGCATCGAAAGGGATCGAGTCAATGAAGTTCAGTTCAGATCTCAACTTTGGCGGGGGATCGGCTAGTTTTGGGCTCTTTGGGTTGTCCCGTGTGGAGTTGTGCCAGGCAAATGCCCTGGCAGGCCAGCCTCATCGGTCCCGCCCGTGTGGCTCGTGAGGGTCCCGCAGCCTGGCCTGGGGCTGGGGCGCCGAGGAAGGGTGAGGGAGGCGAGAGGTTAAGGGTTTTGGGGCTCCAAGTGGGAAGGGGGAGTGGGAGGGAGTGAAGGCATCGTAGGGCTCGGAGGAGAGGGCCCGGAAGTACACGCAGTTACCAAGGGGAGGGGACCCGCCTTGGCTGGCCTCCCAGAAGCCGGCGATCATTGCGGATCAAGGATGCTCAAGCGACCTCGAACAAGAAAGACATGACCTACACATGGCACACATGGCAAGCAGGGACTACACCATCACCACCAACAACCAAGCCAAACCACACGCCTCGGAAGTGGGGGAGAGGAGGGGCAACGTCCCTTGACGGTGAGAGTGATGATGCGATGGATGCCTCTGTCGCTTCATCTCGCCTCCGCCCCCCCCTCCTCGAGACATGTTCCAAGACCTCCCCTCTTCCATTTGGCATAGATTGTCAGGCACCGGAAATCCAACCGCGCGCCAAACCAGTCGCCCGGCGCCCGGAGCGGGTGGGCATCAGACCCGAGCGAGTCGGTGTCGTGTCGGTTTCCTTTCGTGCCTTTTGGATGAGGCAAAACACCATGTGTTGTATCGCGGCGTTCAGGGACAAGAGAGAGCAGCTGTCTCCTGGGCAACTGACTATTCTTTTTTCTCATCACCGCCTTTCTGCTCGGATGCTCTAAGACTAGAACTCGAGCCAGATCGAACTCTTTTGACATGATGTCATACGTCATTGGCTCCTTGTCCCCTGACAACTCCAGGGAATGGGCTTCGCCAAATCTCGCTACGTACGTATTCTTTTTCTTTTTTGATTTACCTACCACCAAGCCTTGGCCTCGTGGGCGTGTGGGCTATTGCTGTTGAAGAAGCTGCAGGTGAACTGTCACTGTCACTAGGACCCTCCACGGCCGGTCTTTTGGGTAGGTACAGTCCGAGAGTCGAGTCAGTTGGTCTTGTCTTGGTTCCCGGGATCTTTGCTCCGCTACTTCGACTATTGTTCCATCCTTCATCGACGATTCCTTTTCATTCTTCAGCACTCTCGGAATATGTCTACCGATCTCACCTACGCTACAGCGAGGTCCTAGCTTGAGCGCTGTGTTCCCCTGACTGATGACAGCCCCTAGATGGCACGACGACGTCATAGCGTCTTGTCTATTCTGTTTTATTTTTTGATTGCTTTTCTGTCCCGCAGCCGCGTCGTCTTAGCCCAGCCTTCGCTCCTGGTCTTCGTCTGTTGGCGGCGTCGTTTTGACTTGATTGAGCAACGTCATGTAGGAGACATGTCATGCGTCTTTGTCTACTGGCTTCTCTCCTAAGAGACCAAAATACTCGGCGCATGACTGGCGGCTGTTTGATGTGAGGTTGTCGATCTTGGGGCAGAGGACCCTTTTCTTTTCCATCGGCCTTGTCGTGATACGGTACAGTACAGTACAGTACAGCATCCCTACAGGCGTCCCCAATCTCCCCTTTCCCACAATCCACGACCCAGGGGACCAGAAGCAACCCTCCATTGCAGATCTGACCATGTCACATGGCGACGGGAGAGTGACAGATGGGCCCAATGGTTGGGCTGGGGGTTGAGATATGGGATTGCTCGTCCCGTTCCCGCTGAGAGTGTGTGCCTTGCCATGGATATCCTTGCTCTCTCGGGCTTATCATCTGGATGAAGTGGCTCATCCGCCAGGACGGCTCCTGTCTCGTGTTCGCAGACTGTTTAACAGCACTCTGCGCATCTTGATGCTCTGAAACAGCTGTCTTCTGGCGGTGAGGCACACCAAGCATCTCATGTCACAGGCACCATCCTTGCTCGGACGATGGATGAATGGGGTGCAATGGGCAAACACGTATGGATGCAGATTATCCATGGACCAGGAACAAACAGACGGCATGATCCAACAAGCTGGGATTCACGACCGAGATCTGCCAACTACATACCTACCCTAGACGAACCCTAGAATATGCTGCAACCAGCAATACCACCGTCTCGCATGCCGTCGTGCCGCGGAATCTAGGGACTCTGTGCCTAGCGGCAGCGCAGCTGGCAACACAATGCGATGCGCCTCTCGTGATCAAAAGGGCGCTTGATGAATCCTTCTTCTGGGGAGTGAGTGAGAGAAGGGGGAACCAATATCCTGCAGTCATATCTGTCTGACAGGTCACGTTGGCGAAACAGTTGTCGATCTACGTCGATCGATCGAGATTGGTGAATTTATTTTCCCCATTCTTTTCTTTATTGGTTTCGGCGCAACACCCCGGGCGCAGCAACAACCTACAGCTACAGGACAGGACTGCTGCCAACCTCTTGCTACGCCGTTTTGTCGATCCGGAGGAACAGAACCAAGTTTTTTCCATGTTCCCGGGGATGGATTGCAGTACGAGGCTCACATTTCTGCTTAGCATTCCATTCCAGGTTCAGGTTCAGGCTCAGGGTCGCTCTTTGGTGCGATAACTTGATGATCGAATTTGAACTACCTAACCGGGAGTAAACTGTTGATTTCTCCGCCCTTCCTTGGAGATCGCAGATCGTCCCCCGAAACGCCTTGTTCGCCGACAGTTCCCCCGCCACATGCCTGCTTATTCTCTCTGGCTTGATTTGAGGCCCCTTTGCTCGGTGTAGCTGTATTATCGTGCCCACAGCATGCGGCGCGGCGTTACTGTACATGGAGTACAGTGCAGTGCAGGCAGTACAACCCTGTGCTGCACCGCCTCTCTCCAGTACACAAGAAACCATGATCCATGGATGACAGTCCGATACATCATAATGATGCCAATGTTAGTATCTGTCTGATGGGGATTTCGCGCATTCCCATGCGAGCCCCTCTCCCCGTTTACCACAGAGTTACATCAATACCATCCTTGTCTGTTTTTCCCTGATTAATTCCGGAAACCTCATGATTTGCGCGCCGGCGGAGGGCCCATCTTGTTGGCCCCCGTGTCGACCCGCTTGGCGGCCGGTAGGTCCGGCACCTTGAAACCACCACCGCTCGGCGCCCCGCTGACCTGGGTAAAGGTTCCGCCCTTGAACCACCGGTCCTCCTCGGCCTTGCGCTTCTTGCTGAGCTCGGCCTGCATCTTGGGATCCACGAGCTCCAGTCCTTGCACGGGCGTAAAGGCGAGCGATGACGCTGTGCCGGCCGCCGAGCCGACTGTGCTTCCCACGCCCGAGGCGCGCAGACCGCGACCGCGCAAGTCGATGCTGGACGCCTGGCCGAAGCCGCCAATGGACGAGGCCGCGCCTCCCACGGTACTGTTTCCTCCCCAGCCCTTGTTCTTGGCGCTGAGCTTTGCACGTGTGCGCTGGTCGACCTGGATGCCTCGGATGCGCCCATCGTTGGCCGAACCGATCATGCCCATACCGACCGTCGTCTCACCGGTACCATATCCAACTTCCTTCTCTTCCTTGCCAAAGGCCATACGGTTCTGGGCCTTGCGTAGATCTGTCATGGCGAGTGCCTCCTTGGCCTTGCGGGCGCGTCGTCCTCCTCGCTTGCGAGCTGGCTTGTCATCCGGTACGGGAAGTGCGCGTTGTCCCTTGTTGGGTGGTGGTTCCGTAAGCTTTTCTAGACGCTCGAGGCATGCCGACTTGAGTTCCTCTCCCGTAGAGCCATCTGGACTTGAATGGATGCGGTCTACTCGAGCGGCCAGCACCAGCTTGGCTGAAACGATTCTCATGGCCTGCTTCCTTAGGTCGTTGGGGATACCACGAATCATTTCCGAGTTGAAAAGGTAGCCCTGCTGACGGATACCAATGTTCGTAGACAGACCGGCCTGCTTCTTTTTGGAACCCCATGAAGCGATGTTGCATGCCGGGGTTTTGGATAGGCCTGTCAATCCACCTGCGGCATTGAGAAGCTGTGCTGCTGTGAGTGAGCCGATGAGGGCCGTCAGGTTGGGCGCAAAGATGTTCATGCGTGACTGGACGTATTCTGTCAAGGTTTGTTTGGCTTTGTTGAGAGCAATGACCATCTCGCAGGCCTTGAAGATGCGCTGCAGCTCCTCCGGTGTCAACTCGTGACCCTTTGATGTGGTGGCCTCGACGGTCACAATCATGAGTGATGGTCCATCGAGAACTGACTTGAGGGTTATTCCAAGGGGGTTGTCGGTCGAGGTCTGGAGGGCCTTGATGCTCTCCGAGTCCATGGGGCCATTGCCCAGGATGGCCACCACCTTGGCATACTCGAGAGGTGTCGTAACCAGTCGTTCCAGCTCGGGGAATCGAGTCGAGTAGTGATCGCGAATGAACTTGTGAACCAGCACCACCTCACCGTCGATCTGGGTAGAGAGGCTGTTTGACTGGGTCAGGAGGTGATACTCGGGGTGGTCCTCAATGTTGCCCAGGCTCGTGCTCTGGGTGGCAGCTTGTGATCGATAATGTGCGATTTTCTGTAGGGTCCGAGGCAACACGTCAGGGCTGTTCGTCAAAATAACCGATGTAAACGAATCGTCCATCTTCAAGACGCGGCCGTTGTTGAACTGGCCGCGGGGAGTGGTACTAACCTCGAGGACTGGCTCCAGGGTTTGCATCAGGCTGGCGACGCTGCGGACGTCCTTGACGGCGCCGAGCTGCATCTTTTCGACCTTAACTTTTGTCGCCTCGGCGTCATCTCTGTCGTTGGATGGGTCGTTTTCGGATGCATCGTCGTCCTTGGTCGCGGCATCGCCGTCGACGTCCATAGCGTCGCGATCGCCATTTGTCTCTTCGTCCTTGACGAGGCCATCGTTCTCAAGCTCGTCGGCCTCATCTCCGGAACTACCGAAATCGTTGAGCAAGTCTTCTGCGACGGTCGACATGATGGAGGCGCGTTACAGTTGGACAATGCGGATGGATTGGGGTGATTGTCGCGACAAAGGGTCAGTCGGGTCGTGGAGCGAGTTGATGAGTTGTGGCTGGCTATAAATATTCGCCTGAATTAGGCTTCGAGGCTGTAGACGCCACAGTTATATGGTCCGTGCACAGCTGCCTTTTTGCTCCTCAGCCACAGTTCATTTTTTGAGCCTTGCTCCTTGTCGCGTCGTCGTCGTCTTCACTTGAATCATCCATCACGCTCTTTTCTTCTTCTCTGCTTGATTCTATCTCGTACCGACTGCATCGTGTGGCCCTTCTCACCAACTCATCACAGATACGCGTCGCCCACGATGGAGTCATCAAGAGGACCCCCGAGGGTCAAGAACAAGGCGGCCGCGCCTGTCCAGATCAGCGCCGAGCAGCTCCTCCGAGAAGCTGTCGACCGACAAGAGGTCGGGATCCAGGCGCCGACCCAGCGGTTCGCCGATCTGGAAGAGCTTCACGAGTTCCAGGGCAGGAAACGCAAGGAGTTTGAGGACTATGTGCGGCGCAATCGGCTCAACCTCAACAACTGGATGCGATATGCGCAGTGGGAGCTTGAGCAGAAGGAGTTTGCGCGCGCGCGCTCCATCTTTGAGCGCGCCCTCGACGCCCACCCCAACAATGTCCAGCTCTGGACCCGATACGTCGAGGCCGAGATGAAGTCGAGGAACATCAACCATGCCCGGAACATTCTCGACCGCGCCGTGTCGCGGCTGCCGCGAGTCGACAAGCTCTGGTACAAGTACGTTTATATGGAGGAGATGCTGGGCAACGTCCCGGGAACACGCCAGGTCTTTGATCGCTGGATGCAGTGGCGACCGGACGAGGCGGCGTGGAGCGCATACATCAAGTTGGAGAAGCGGTACGGCGAGTTCGACCGGGCACGCGAGATCTTCAAGATCTTCACCATTGTCCATCCCGAGCCCCGGAACTGGATCAAGTGGGCCAAGTTTGAGGAGGAGTTTGGCACCAGCGACCAGGTGCGCGAGGTGTTTGGAGAAGCAGTCGAGTCACTGGGCGACGAGTTTGTTGACGAGAAGCTATTCATTGCGTATGCTCGATTTGAGGCCAAGTTGAAGGAGTACGAGCGAGCCCGTGCCATCTACAAGTATGCTCTCGACCGCCTACCACGATCCAAGTCGGCAATCCTTCACAAGGCATACACAACTTTTGAGAAGCAGTTTGGCGACAGGGACGGTGTGGAAGATGTCGTCTTGTCAAAGCGAAGGGTGCACTACGAGGAGCTCATCAAGGAGAACCCCAAGAACTACGACGCTTGGTTCGACTACGCAAAATTGGAGGAGTCTTCGCAGGACCTGGACCGGATCCGGGATGTTTACGAAAGGGCCGTGGCTCAGGTGCCACCGACACAAGAGAAGCGACACTGGAGACGATACATTTACCTATGGATCTTTTACGCCATATGGGAAGAGATGGAAGGCCAGGATATCGAGAGGACGCGGCAGATCTACAAGACTTGTCTGAAGCTGATCCCGCACAAGAAGTTCACATTCGCCAAGATATGGCTCCTGGCGGCGCAGTTTGAGATCCGACAGGGTGAGCTCACGGCGGCGAGGAAGCTGCTTGGCAATGCCATCGGCATGTGCCCCAAGGACAAGATCTTTGACGGCTACGTGGACCTGGAGCGCAAGCTGTTTGAGTTTGTGAGATGCCGCACGCTGTATGAGAAGCACATTGAGTACAACCCGGCCAACTGCCAGACATGGATCAAGTTTGCCGAGCTGGAGCGTGGCCTTGACGACCTGGACCGCACGCGCGCCATCTTTGAGCTTGCGGTGCAGCAGCCGCAGCTGGACATGCCGGAGCTGCTGTGGAAGGCGTACATCGATTTTGAGGAGGAAGAGGGCGAGTACGAGCGCACACGAGAGCTGTACGAGCGACTGCTGGAGAAGACGGACCACGTCAAGGTCTGGATCAGCTACGCGCACTTTGAGATCAACATCCCCGAAGACGACGAGGAAGAGGGCGACGAGGAGCAGCCCGTCAGCGAAGAGGCCAAGGCGAGGGCTCGCAAGGTGTTTGAGCGTGCACACAAGAGCATGCGCGAGCAGGACCTCAAGGAAGAACGCGTATCGCTCCTCAACGCCTGGCTGTCGTTCGAGCGGACACACGGATCGGCCGAGGACATTGAAGCTGTACAGAAACAGATGCCTCGCAAGACCAAGCGCCGGAGAAAGCTCGACGACGACTCGTGGGAGGAGTACATTGACTATGTGTTTCCTGCCGACGACCAGCAGGCGGCCAATTTGTCGAATATCATGGCCATGGCGCAAAAGTGGAAGCAACAGCAGTCAGGAGAGGCCGCATAAAAATGGACTAAAACGACACTACATACTGGGCTGCTGGCGTTGTGGAGGATATTCAAGGCGGTTATGGGCCTTTTTTGTCAATATACCAAATTTCTGGCCGACACTTGACCGTCACTTTCATCCCGTCTGTATGTTCTATGCCCGCTCTTTCAACAAAAAGAAAGTTGACCTGTAGTTTTCATCCACATGATCAATCCTTCAAAACCGTTACTTTTGAGGCTGAATCGTCAGCGCTTCCAACGACGTCAGGGCGTTGTGGAGAGTGGATACATTGTGATGACGTCATGGCGTCCATGCCATAGTTTGGCGGCGCCAGGGGTGAAAGAACAAGATCCAAGTCCAAGGACACGGCATGGATGGACCCCGTCTTTCTCCTCTTCGATTGGGCGTGTTTCTCTGTGGGTGACCACCAAGTACAGGGGATTCCCTGACCTGGCTCGGTGAGGACCAAATTCTTCAGTTCCATCGTGTGTTTCAGCCCGAGCCCTCGCATTACTGCTGTCCTTTGTGTCTCTACTACGCACAGCCAAGATGGATGATGACGACGCCCGTCTCACAGCACACACGCACGCGCGCACACACATACGCAAAACATGGCAGATAATAATATCATTGTAAAGAAACGGTCGTAATAAGTCGTGATTCGTTACCTTGTTCTAGCAAGATCAAACCCTTCATTCAATATCCCACCTCGTATCATATCCAGAACAAAATCAAGGATAAAGAAAATCCAAATCGTAAACCTCGACGGTTATCTTACCTCTCTTTCCCCGCTGACTCGTTCATATCCGTGCCCATTCCCGTTTCCCGCCAAGTCTGTCCAATCGTCGTGTATCGATCTGCAAGCCCCCATCCATCTCGCAAGCCGTGCTTCCCGAGCCTAGCCTTTTCTCTGCTCCCATCCGTCATCATCGTGCATACCATCACCGCACACGCGCATACCACCCTCCTCCTCTTCCCGGCTCTTACTTCCCGTCCTCTTCCCGTCCGAAACGTTGTTCCAGATCGTGCTCCACTCATCGTCCCATCGTGAGATCGCCCCGAGCAAGGTAAAACCAGTTCGTCCTTGCCAGCTGCATCACGACGTGCCGTTCTGCCGGGAAGCTTGGCCTGCTTCGGTGCAGGTGGATGGGTTCACACCTGTTCCTGCGAGTATCGAGCCACTTGCTCAGTATCGGCGATGATGGTCTAGTGTAAATCATGCTTATTAGTCTCTCTTCTTGAATACACCCATGAAAACGTATCTGAAAATGATTAGGGAGAAAGCACATGCATGGCATGTGCTCCATCTATCTGGTGCGGTGCAGGGGGGGTTAAAGCAGCAAAAGAAACAAGCCGCGCAGCGCAGTAAGCCACATCATCACGAGGTCTTTTCTTCTTCTTCCAGAATCTTTGCCTTTCATTCGTCCTCCTCTTTATCCAACATTGTTGCCGTGTATCGTACTCAAGTTTCTCAAGAGCTTAATCGTCGTGTCGTCATAATTCATGAGCTTCAGTGTCCCCGACACATTTCGTAAAATGAGCGTAGTGGGACATTCTCAAACAGGCACATCAAGGCACTAGCCTCGACATATGCGCCGTATCCAAATTCAAGAGTGCTTGCCGCCCTGGGTCTCAGTTTGAAGGGGCTGGCAACGGGGCACGGCCATAGGGGTCTCTCCTGTAGGAATCTGTCCCATACGGGCTTGCCGGATAGACATTCCCTCTGTAAGGATCACCCCCATAGGCTCGATGATGATACTCTTCATCCTCCGTGTCCGAGTCATACCCGTCACTTCGTCCTCGAGATGATGGTGCCCAGCTGTCAGCCCTCCTCTGCCCGCCTACACTCTGAGCTCGCATGCATCTCTGCAAACGCCTTTCGTGGCGGCGGGCCTTCTCTTGCTTGAACTCCTTGCACTCATGTGTCAAGTGCTTGGCTTCCTTCATCTCTGAGATGGCACCCTTGATTCCCAGGGCGGCAATTCCCACTGACGCGGCATCTTGCATGATTGCCTTGGTCTTGAGCTTCTTCGCTTCACCCTCGCTGAGGCGTCCCTCGTTGACTGCCTTGTGTCTTGCCTTCCTCTTTTCCATACTCGAATAGACCTCGTGTGCTGCATGGATCGTGGCCACGGCTGCAAGGCCCGTGGTGACAAGTTGCTTACCTCTCATCTTTTTAGCCCTCTTCTCGTCTTCATCCGAGTCGCCCAAATCGGAGTCGGATGAAGAATAATCAGATCGGCCGCCTCGTCGGCGTTCTCTTGGCTTGCTCCGGTGGGAGCGGTCATCATCGTAGTAGTCTCGGTTGCTGCCAGATCGTCGGTCGTCCTCCGACATGTCGTCCGAGTATCGGCGAGATCGATGTCCGCCGCGGTCGCTAAAATCATCTTGGTCCCGACGGCGGTAGTCATCGGCAGCGGCAGCGCCGGCACCAGCTCCGGCTCCGAGACCGAGCTTGGCTAGGCTGTTGCGGGCCTTGTCGACAACGCTGCGGCTTCGGCTGCGGTGACGGCGACGATCTGGGGAAGGACTGTAGGATTCACTCCTTCCCCGTCGGCTGCGGCTCCTGGATCGCGAACGGTCGAAAGCCTTCTTGGCGCCGAGTGCACCCAGACCGGCAGTTGCAAGAGCCGCAAGACCGGTTGCTCCACCACCGCCACCGCTTCGAGACTTGGATCGAGCGCGAGAACGAGAGCGGCTGCGGCCAGTCTTGCGGTCCTCCTCAATGTCGTTCCTTGAACCTCGGAGCAGGCGGTTGCCGACCAAACCGCCAATCACCGACTCTGCCAGGCCAAGCTTTCCTCCCTTATCATCGGTCGCTGTATCAACGGCAGCGGCACCAGCAGCTGCGGTGAGAATGCGCTTTGTCTTCTCGCCCTTCCAACCACCAGGTTCCTTGGCAACACGGAAGGCTTCAGTGGCACCTGCGAGAAGCGAGGCCATGGCCGCCTTTTGGATCTTGTTGGTACCACCACCATGAGAACGAGATCGATCGCTGGAAGGACTGCCTCCCCGACGGCTTCTAGTGTCGGATCGGTGGTCATCTCCACTTCCGCCAGTAAGGGCCTTGACGGCAGCGCCGAGGCCAGTGGCGGCAATAGCGTTCTCGAGGAAATTCTTGTGGCCCTTCTTCTCCTTGGGGCCAATGTCGTCGTCTGAGTAGTAATCGTTGGAGTAGCCATCACGGCCATGGTGAAGGATCATGTTGGCCTTTTGGTCCTTCTTGGCCTGCTGCTTGTTGTAGAACTGTGCGCCCTGGTAGGCGGCCAGAGCGCCAACTCCGGCGAGGGCAGCAGTAGAGAGGGCGTTGCGTTGAACCTCGGTGCCATCTTCCTTGGCCTCTCGGCGGTCATAGAGCTCCTTACCAGTGACAGCGAGAGCGGCGCCGGCAACGGCGGCAATGATCTTTTCGTTCTTGGACATGCCCTTGGACTTGTGCTTGCGGTCATCATCGTCATAGTAGGAGCTGGTGGGGCCGCGACGGGAGCGTCGGTCGTCGCGGTCGTAGCGAGGATCATATCCGCGGCGATACTCGTACTCCTCCTCATAATAGTCAGGACCAGCGGATCTAGCACGGCGGATGTCGCGGCCGCTGGGAGGGGGGAAATCGCGGCGAACCTCTTCTACTGACAAATCGCTGTCTTCTCGAGCACGGGGGACGAGCTCGCGAGTAGAGTGCGACTTTGAGTTGAAGGAGTCTCGAGGATCGAGATAGCGGGGGTCATCTCGGCGTTCCTCTCGGCGTTCCTCTCGCACGTAACGGCGAGAGTAGTCCCGATCATACGGGTCGTAGTTTGCCATGGGGGAAATCTGCGTGGTTTCTGTTTGCTTGCAAGTGAGAAGCGGGTATATGTTGTAGCGTTGTATGTTAAGCTGAAGATTGCGTTATGCCTGTCTAGTATAGAACAAAAGGCAAATTGGGTATTGTGCTTGCTTGTTTGTAGGTTGTGAATGATGATGCAAAAAGGAAGAAGGGGAAGGGGAGAGGAGGGGAGAGGCAGATGATGAAAAGAAAAGAAGTGATGCAGGAGCAACCGACCAGCCACAGCTTGCAAAACAGGGTCCTTTGCGAGGTGGACAACAGGGGTGAGGGAAGGAAGGAAAGATGGAAGGAACGGGAAACAAGAGAGGGAAAGTGGGTAGAGGGCGGCGAACCTGCTTGGCTCTGATGGCAGGTGCAGTGCAAGTGCAGGTGGTCAGTGGTGTGTGCCCGTGTTGTGCGCGTTTGCGTGAGTGTGTGTGGTGGATGTGGATGGGCATCAATGAAAAAGTGGAAGGCAGCAATGGAAGCACTGCCTTCCCTGCCTGGTGACTACCTAAACTAACGTGAGTGCAGAGGCCGTAACCGTGGCCGTCACTTTACTAGGCTCGGGCGCTACGCTACGGCTACGCTTCTCTCCACGACGTACGACGTCGAGAGGTACAAACGCTGGAGCTGTTGCTGCTTCTTCCTGCTGCAAGACAGGGCGAGTAGCGGGGCAAGACCAACGACGTAATGATGAGGGGTCCTTAGTAAGGTGGGCACAGCGCTGACGCTATCCGACAGGGGTCAAGACCCACCAGAGCCAATGCCCAGCCTCCCGAACGGCAGTCAAGTCTCCGGGGCATCTGGGCATCAAGCACAGCCCACAGTTCAGCGACAGCTGCGCCACAGCACTTAAGCATCTCCATTAACTGCGATATAACCTAACGACGTCGGTAACCCCGAAAAGAATATTCTTTACGAACGACTATCCACCAGAAAGCGACATCGTGATGTTTTATGCATCCTTGTCAGGCTACTAGTTCGCACGAGATTTCCTTCCAGGGCCCAAACATGGCCGGAGCCCTCCGTGTCTCTCCTCCGAGCCGGGTGTCCCCTGTGAGATCGGGCAAGGCTCTAGTGGGCACAGTCCCAAGTGAGGCTCTTGACACATCCCCCCTTCGTCATAAGCCAGGGGCTTATTCTTCCTCCGGATCTCGCTTCAGAAACGATCATCTCGGTACTGTACTACATATCAAGGTGAGGCTCAGAAACGGGCCCGTGTCGTCTCGACTAGCACATGGACCATCCCACGCGGGCAAAGAAATAAATGAGACGCCAGAGTAGGTATGAAGAGAATTGCCTTATGCCTTCCTTATGAATAAAATTTATAAAAATTAGTATAAAATAATATAACAATTAGGAGATTATATATATATATTATTATTATTTATTGATTGTATTTAGAGTAGGATTAAGTATTGTATTTGTCCTCGTGTCTCGTTTTTTCCTTGACCCAGGTGCATCCCTTGCTTCTCTCCCGGCACAACACGAACCGCCACTTGATGAGTTGTCACTTCAAAACAGTAAACAACGTGTGTCCAAGGAGTGGCCAATTCATTCAATGCCTGCCTGGCAGGTGGCTAATCCCATCCATCCACCCATGCTCGTGTCTCAACATGTGACGCAAGTCCGCTGACTGGAGTTCGTGACCGCCTGCCCTACCAAGCCACACATCTAATTCGCCTCAGCCACGCCGTTTCTCCAGACCACCGACCACCAACCACCTGCACCCCAGAATATCGGGTTCAACATGTCGACTAGCTTTCTGTAACGACGCGCTATGTAGACTGTTTCAAAGTTTCTTGTCCTAGGAAAATGCCTAGGGTTTCTGTGCATTCTGCCTTGCTCTGGTTGTGATAGATTTTGGCACTCTGAGCCTAGGTCACCGTTGTGAACCAGCCAGCACATGCAAGCCTCAAAATGGCAGACATACAATAGGACGCATGTTTTCTTTATCGACATCAGATATCAATTAAAAATTTGTGGAGACTCTAAATATTCCAGTTCAGTCAAGGTCCAACACGTTTCTAGACCCTCTATCGTATTCGTCATCGATGCAAGAAGGACGCAGATACCGGTCAGAGTACACTTTTCTGGCCTTGGAACTTCTTGGCGCACATATCAGAAGCAACCAAACCAGGGTCCAGTGGCAAGATTTGAGGCAGTGAGCAACGCTTACAAGCCTGTCAGCAAGAAGCTGAACTACATCAAACGCCACTTGCGCTTGAAGAAGAAATATAGTCTCTACCGATGGATCAAGTTGAAAACTAGGCAGACTGAGAGGCTGGTTTGACCAATACATCCAGCATCCAGGCTTCGCCCTTTGTCTTTCTGCCCTGAGAATGACCCCTTTTAATTGCAGGATACAGTAGTTTAGTAGAAACTACTCGATGAGTCGACTTTAAACACCAACGAATAACCCCCATCATCCAAAGTGGTCGGGTTAAGTTTAAGCAATGCAAACATTTTAATCGAGATCATCTAAGCTCATCGTTCCCACATCTTGTAGCCGTACAACTCAACTCGCACCAACCTGATCATTCTCCATCCCTTTTTAATAGGTATTCCAAGAAAGCCCAACACCAGCACTTCTTTAATACAGTTCCCAGTATAAACAACCGCCGTCCTAATACTCTACAACAAATCTCGATAACTTCGAGGGCCCCTCATTCTTCAAGTCAATTGCTAGCCGTAGCCCTAGACAGTTCCCCAGCGTGCTGGGTCTCGTCAGGATTGACACCATAGTCTGTAGGATCCGCCTCCTCATCCACCTTCTCCAGCTGGTCGCCATCAACTAGGGCATACTTGCTCTTTTTTCGGATGCGAGAGCCGTATTTGTAGAACACAAAGGGAATGAATGCCAGCAACGTTGCCACCCCTCCAATGAGTGAGCCACCTCCTCCAACACCAAGTGTAGAAAACATCTGATTCGTGAACAAGGGGGCCGCAGCACTACCAGCCGACCTAACCACCGTGTTGGCAGCGATGACGGAGGCTGCATAGTCGGTGTATGTGTCTGTGAGGTAGTTGATGATGGCGACATAGACGAGCATCAGGGAGGTAGAGAGGAATGTCCCAGCCAGGGTCGGCACAATCCACGGAACTTGGCTTTCGGAAGTTAGTTTCTGGTACCTTTTAAGTGAGGATAAAGCCTTACTTGTATTGCGCTGACCACGCCAGCCAGGACATTGTGATAGGAAATCCAACTCCTCCAAGCATGGCCATCAGAAGCCGGTCCTCTGGCAGGAGCTTCTTCCCAGAAGCATCTCTGCTCCTCCTTCGCTCACTGTCGACAAATATAACGATTGCACCGAGGATGGCGCCCACGATCTGTCCGATCAGAGGCAGCTGCGAAACTCCTGCATTCCATCCCCTCATATCGCGGAATACGATAGGGTAGATGCTGAAGAGCATGAACTGTAGTGCAAAGACTATACAGGCGTAGAAAGAGCAGAGTAGTGATATGAGGTCGAACATGAGAATCCACGGTCGCGTGAGAGCCATCTTGTACAACTGGTGCAGCTTGGGTTTGTTTTCTTCGCCCTCGGTCTGGGCGCCAGTGATACCGGACCGCCGCGCACGCTGTGATTTTTGCGCGAGGATCGTCGGACTGTGAGTCTCTGGGATGAGGAACATGAGAGCCATGGTTGGGACGCCGAGCCAGAGGGCTGAGTACACACCCCATCTCCAGTCTCTCTTAAGTTGTACAAACCCTGAGATGACAGAACCGAGAGAAGGACCAACCCAGGACGCTAGACTAAAGATGGCTGTCGCATTGCCTCTCTCAATGGGATCCCATAGATCGACCAGCACACCGGGGGTCGTGCTCAGGGGTGCCGAGATGAAGGTGCCAGCTAGAAATCTCCCAGCAAGCAATCCGCCAAAGCTAGGAGGAAAGGCACAGAGAAATGTAAAGACCATGTAGGCTGCAAAAGTAACGTAGAAGATCCATCGACGGCCGTAAAATTCGGACAGCGGCGCAAAGATAAAGGGTCCTGCGCAGAAGCCCAGGAGGAAGAGGGTCGTGGTAAGGGCTGCGGTAACCTCAGAGACATTGAATTCATTCACGACAGAGTCAAGACTGGCTGCAAATATGCTTGAAGAAAAGTTGCCGTTTAAAGCAAGGAGCACAGCAATCAAGGTGATGATCCATCTTCGCGTGCGAGACCAGTTTCGTGGGTTCTCGGCGTCTCCCGACGTGAAGTCGACGTAGCCCCGTTCGTTGATGCAGGCAGATTCGTGCTTTTGGTTGCCAATGTCAGGCTTGAGGGTGATGATAGACAAGGCTCGTTGTAAAGAAGGCATTTTGAAGTTGTCGATGTAGATGAGCCGATTTCCCTGAGTGCGTTGCTGTCTGGCAAGTATGGCACTCTACGAGGGAGGCATCAAATCATCTATATATATCCGTGACGAGGCAACAACTTCTCGTCATGTATAATTATGATGAAAACCTTTACTCACCATCATTGAGGTCAACCGGACAGTATCGTCCTCTACCATACATTTGCGTCCATGCTTGATAGGAGTTGACGTCAAGTGCTCCAGGAAATAGCATCCCCATATACCCGACTTGGAAAAGGCCTTCCTCTCTCCTCCACTATCTGACTCTCTCCGGAGGTCAGCTCCGTAGCTGGATCCATCTCAGGACGGAGTTAAACTCCGCAGGTTCGCCATGTTGGTAATTTTGGTGTCAAGGATCATGCTGGACGCTCGTTTGCCATATTCTGTCCCCATTGACTATCTGGCTAGCCGAAAACCATTGTTATTGTGGCGGCTTTGTTGATGGAGCTACAGTATAGATCCTTACAAGACGTTAGAAGCCCAAAGCTAAGAGTTCTTTCAAAGGTCCAATGCAATTGCCGCGGAGTGTCAGTCTAGGCAATGTAGTGGCGGAAGAGTTGATCGTCAGGGAACATGCGATACAACCCTGTATCAAGATCTTCACACCAGGACCCACGTGGCCATGGCACGGAGTCCAGGTGCAATGGCGAGTCAAGCGCGGCATATCAGGGTTTTAATTTGAGTCTTGTTTCTAGTTGCCAATGGTAGAAGTTAGAGTGGTGGTGGAGTGGCTACCTCGACGGGGCTACCTACAATACCATTTCCATTGTGTACTATTGCTCAGGCAATGGATTACAGAGAAAATCCACTGTGAATCCTCGACAATTGAATATACTGTCACTGTTCTCGTAGAACTAAAAGGCCAGGTTTCTATACTGGCCACAATTCATATCCCACAAACATTCTAACAAACGCTCTCGCTTTTCCCAGCTCCAATCACTAACCAAAGTACAGTAGTTCTATTTGTGACGGGAGCACACCCTCCGCCGGACCACCGTTGAAATCTCTTCTCTTCAAGGGGCGATTGACGTAATGGCTAGATCATCGACGCTGCGAGTCTTGTCCTGGCATTTCCACTTATGGAAGCTCAGGGTCTTTTCCGGACCTTATATTCCTACAAGACCCAACAGTCTATGCCCAGCCGGTGGTTGATCGTTGGTGACGATCCCGTCAATAGATTCGCTTAGGCTTCAAGCTAGATATTGACTTACCTTCTTGGTTCGGGAGCTCGCGTATCATTTTTCTTCAACTCAATTGCAGCACAATCAGCTATTCGTAAATGCTATATCATCTGCATGTAAAATGAGATCCATCCACCCAGGGTGGCCTGCTGTTGGGTCCCAAGTCTCCAGCCAACGCACTCAACGCCGTAGGACCTACACAGCTGCCTCTTCCAACATGTCACCAAAGAAAAAAGACAACGGCAAAAAAAGAGAGCAAGAGCAAAAAACATACAACAGCGGGGATTCGCTGGTCGTCACCGACCCAACTACTAATCCGCCCCTCACTGGCTTATCTATGGGAGAGCGGACGGGATCCCGAGTTCTCCAGTGGGTATGGTCGTATGTGACAGTCAAGCAAGCACATTCTGATGATAAGCTCACGGTTCATTTGGTCAACCAGTTGCGAATACTCCTCGCATCAATTTGCATCTTCTCCTGGTGATCGCCTCCCAAATGCTTTCAACATCTCAATTTCTCTTCTTAGTCTTCCATGAGAGGGCTAAATCCACTCATTGGCTCGTCGTCCTTGTAGTTGTAGAAATGCTGCTCCACCTGGTCAAGTTCGACATTGTGCTCCCCAAAGTACGATATGATCTTGCCCTTAACTGAGCTGTAGTTCTCAATGTCCCTAAACTCAAGGATCGTGCCATCATCATCCTCGCCCTTTGCATTGTAGAAAGGCTCCGACACTGGCAGAAACAATCCCATTGCCACAATAGGCCAAGGGGGTTTGGGTGCTGTCTTGGATGCAGCGTCCCTTGCAAAGGGGAGGAGGCTTCGAGAGAGAGATTTGATGGAGAGATAGATTGTGCTTTCTCCCAGCCAGAGTATTCCCGTCGAAAGGAAAAAGAGAGAGCCTGTCTTGAGTTAACTAGGATCATGTCAAGGGGATATTGTCCTTACCTTCACCTCTCTCTACGTAGCTGTCCGAGACTGACGTGAGAGCGGCAATACATTTAAACATCAGCACGTCGGTTGGAACAGGCGTCTTGTCCACATACAAAATCACTTTTTTGCTCTGCGGAGCCAGCTGTTCGTTCAATTTGGCCTCGATTATCTTGAAGACAGGCGGTTGCCCTTCTGGAGACTTATGCAGGTGTTTGTCCATATCTGTACAAGGCCAGTCAAGTCGAATAATCTTGGGATACTTCTTGATTACGCCAGAGGCGCCAACGGCTGCAGTGGGAACTACCACCATCGTGAACGGACCGTCTTCGGGTCTTCTGGAGACGATGATGACTTGCTCTACTTCGAATGAGCACGGGTTTCAACTTTTGTGCTATAGAGGGCAAAGATGCTCACCGATATTTTGAAAAGGTACGATAAAGGTATCCGAGTGGCCATCTTTCACCCTGGAAAGTCGGACGGCTCCGCTACCAGGCCCATCTTTTCCAGCGACGACTTCAAAGATGCCCTCTCCTTCAAACGGGGAGGTAAAGTTGACTTGAGTCGTGCCAGACGGAACTGCCTCGGGTTCAAGCTCGGGCAAGTCGTTGACGTCCAGACCTTGGAAGTACTGGTACGTCCATTCGTGCTTTGCCTCGGTGCTCATGATGCGGCTACGGCGTCTATTTGATGCAGCCAATGCTCCCCCGGAAGCTTTCTTTGCCTTGTGGGGACTTGAGAGTCGCCGTGGACGTGTTGACTTGGCCTTGGGCGCTGAGGGCGCTGAGGACGCTTCAGGGTTGGACTCGCGCCCGGATCTTGTGGTAGGCATGTCGAAAACACGGACTTCGAGTTGGGCGAATGTGATTGAATTGGTTTCCTTGGAAGATGAATGTTTCTGTCGATTGTTGAATGTATAAGTGAGGCGGCTAAGGTTCAGCTTATAAAGTACTATTGGTGTTTGCGCAATCATCATCATCGTAGTAGTGCCCCGCATTCAATGACGTAGAAGGCCAATACGGGGTAACAGTCCAGCCACTCAACCCTGTCATTGTCAAAGTATTTCTACTTGGGTATCGTGTCCTCTATGGGTGATGGAATGTGTATAAAATTCTTGCAGCGGAGCACAAAACGTTAAGGCGCCTTAGTGCCAGCCTTATGCAAACGGCAGTTGTGAACTAGGGTGATGTGACAGCTTGGTGCCAAACTTATAACATGTACGGATAACGTTGTGTTATTTCGGCAGTGATGGCACCATCTTTTAAGCATCCCAACCCCTAAATCAATACTAGTCAATACAATGACTATCTCCCGTCTTCAAAAACTCACCGATGCCATAGACCTGAGCAAGATCGCTGCCGCCCTTGCCATCATGGTCAGTGTATTTCCCAATTGGGTCGAGAGCTACCCTAGGCCAAAGCTGCCGGCCGGCCGGCCAGCCCACCCAACTCAACCCCGCAAGCATGATGGATTGCCCCTCATGATGGCATAAACGTCCCCTCCACGCTTCATTTTCTCCTGAAAATCTCAACGGCGGACGGATGCCAAAGTCAAGTAACACAAGTCTCGCTCAGCTTACAAACCGTCAAGACACCCACAACAGACAATAAATGCTTAAAGACATCTTGCCAAGACCAAAATTCACTTCATGTGCCCTTCCCCAAGCATTCCATCCATTCATCCAATCTTGCCCTGCATTAGCTAGCCCTAACAAAATCATCGTGAAACCTAGCCAACCAGCTCAGCATCCTCCTGCACAACTAACCGAGAGCCCAACCAGTTTATCAACCTTTTATTATTTTTTCTTGTGTGTGTTTTTTTTGAAAACTATAGTACAGTGTGCAATTCCCTCTTGTAGCAAAGTTTGGAGTGTCCCATCTAACATCAAAATCCACGACGGGGAAAAAAAAAGTCCATAACAAAAATGACCACAGACCAAAGACCAGAAGACCAAAAACCAAACCCCCTTTGTAACCCCTTCCGAATGCAGTTGAGAAATCCCTGTGCTGTGATGTGATGCGCTTTGCTGTGGCTGAATACCATGCATGCATTTGCTTTTCTGCCCTCACTTGTCTTTTTCTTTCTCTCCCCTGTTCCGAAGACGCCCTAGATCCCTTCCTTGGCTTCCCTGCCACCCGTAACACTCGACCCGTGGCAACAGCTGACCTGACCTGCCAGCTCCGGCCCCCTTGCGTTCCAAGTCGCTCTCTGGAGCACCTCACGCAACTGTCAAAAGACTTGTGAGCCCGAGCTCAAAGGCTCTACTGCACATCTTTCCAACCTGTCACCGACAGCTTTCGCAGTTCCATCCTCGCCAAAAGACCTCCTTCTGGAAACCAATAGACTGGGCCTAAAACCCTCATCGTCACCCCGATCCCCATTACCAGTCCGCCTTAGTTGTCCGTCCTTGATTCATGGGATAGGGTATAGAAGAATTTTTGCCGATCATGTTTGCATCGTCCCTCCGCTCTTTTCATCCCCTTTCCACTCCGTCAGACTCCCGGGATGTTGACTTCGCGTCGAAGGTCAACGCTTTCACACCCGTGCCTTGTCAGATTCAAGCTGGCTTGAAAGCATCGTAACGCTCCCTCTCCGTCGTGCTCAAAACAACCATCGCAAAGTCGTTAATCCTCGAGATTTTCATACATTCGTCCTGACGAAAGAAAGATCTGCGAACCAAGAAATGTGACCGCAACTGATACAACGCCATCGCTCATGACGTTTTTTGTGGCCAGTTCTCAACTTGGCCCTTATCATAAACATGTTTCGAATTCTGGGACGCGTAAAATCATATCGACCCAGATATAGGCCATGACAACATCTCAGTCTCGTCTACGCCTCAAGATGCGAGGCATAGATCCACCACTTGACCAAGCCTCACCGCCGTAAGGACCCCCTCCATTTCTGGAAGGGCTCGTTTACGACTGCGCGGTCTGAGCGTGCTCGGCATGCACGCCGTTTGTGAGGGGCGCGGCAGCCTCGACCTGGCCATTTTGCAACTGTGTCGAGACCTCAGCCTTGCTTGTCGGTGAGACATCTCCATCGAGACCGGTCAGAGGGACGGTGCCTGAGGGCGAAAAGTCGGGCACCTCGGCCGAGAGCTGGCTCACGCCGTTGGTGTTTATAGCTCCGTTGACGCCCTGTGCCGCTTGTGTGTTGTCGACAAAGTGTTGGAACGAAGGGTCGTGGGCGTTCACGGGATAGCCGTGCTGGCCATAAGGCAGACCGTGGAAGCCATTGAAATGGCCGTTGGCATAGTTATAAGATCGGTTCTTGAAAGTCAAGTGCATGGGACCGTCGTTGCGAGCCAGCTCGTCTCGGTCCTCCATGGGCAGGACAAACTTCTGCCAATCCTCCCGGCGACGCAGTCGCTCGCAGTCATCCTCGCCAACAACGTAGTCAACATCGACTGAATCCTCGCAAACAGCACGGATGAGGTTCATATCGGCCGAGAGATCCCGCATGCGCTTGAACGCAGTGATGAAATGCAACGGCACAAAGCCCTGAGAGTCCATGCGCTGTCGCAGGTACATATCCTTGCAAAGGTTCTCAATCGAGAAGTAGTATTCGATTTGGCTCTTGAGCATCGGCATCACCATGTTGTCCCAGTAAGGATGAGGCTGCAGAGGCATACCGGCCATCGGCGCCATCGAGTAGTCGTATGCTGCGAATTGAGCCTGCACGGCAGGCATGCGAGAGCTGCCGTTGGGCAGAGACAAACGGTGGTAGTTACCCGCTCCGTTGCGGCCTCCGCGGCCTCGCTGAGTTGGCGGCGCAAACATACCGCCGTGCGAACCCTGTCGCAGAGGGGGGCTGTAGTGGCCCTGAGCTCGACCAGCGCCAGCGCCTTGGCCGTGGAATCCTGAAGTGGCGGAAGCCGAATGTTGGTGCTGGCTTTGGCCATTGCCATGAGTACCACGGCCGCGGTAGCCACCTCGACCCCTCTCACCACGGCCCTCAGGGCGATCGCGAGGAGTCTGAGTAGTATCCTGAGGAACCAAGTTAGGCTGTTTTCTCTTCTCACGCTCAATAAGCTCAACTTACACTAGACTGAGCGGCAGAATCCTTGGCCTTGTCGGCACCAGCATTTGCCGAGGCCTTCTTCTGGCCGTTGGCGGCATCGAGTGATCCTCGCTTGGCCGCAGCGGGTTGAGATGTAGTACCGTTGGGTCCATCTCGAGGCTTGGCGTCGTTGGACTTATTCACAGGAGCAGACGATGCCTTATCTGTAACACCGTTTGTAGTAGCTCGGGTAGAAGCATCGCGACCGCTTCGGGCTCCCCCACGGGGTTTGGAACCACGCATTTGAGGCAGCTGAGTCTCAAAGCTGACTGTGGGGACGTAGTCATAAGTCACCCACTTCTGTCGGGGCTTGCCCTGGCTGTCGTTCTCCTGAGCGTCCTTGTCGGAGCGATCCGATCGGTCAGATGCCTTGTCGACCGTCTTCTTCTTGTCCTCCTTAATAGCAGTGATGGCGGTCTCGGGGGTAGGCCAGTGAGTGGAATCCTGCACAGATGGGGGCACTTCAGCCTTGCCCTCCTTGTCTGATATCCGAGAACCTCGAGGCCCGTTTCGCTCGGGTCGGCTGACGCTGGCAGCCTTCTGCTGCGGCTTGACGCCATTCGTATAGGGAGCGGGAGTAGACTCCTCGGCCTTGGCCGCTGACTTATCATCGTCCTTCTGGGCGGATGTGCCATTTACCGCAGCCTCAGCGGGAGTGGGCGCGGGCTTAGCCTTTGCCAAATGAGCTTCCTTGCGCTGATGCCAGATGTTGACGCTGGGGATGGGCGCCTCGGCAAGTTCAACCTTTGGCGGTTCGGGAGCTGCTTCCTGCTCCTTATCTGCCGCCTGCTCGCTGGGCTGCTTCTCGGCAGCCTTGCTCTTCTTACCCCTCCGAGCCTTTCGCGAGTCCTGCTCTTCGGTGGAACGGGTGGTGTTGCTCGATGACCTGGGCGTCTTTTCATTTCGTCGCCATGGCCGATCTAACCTTCCAGCATCGTCGTCACGCCTCGACTCAGGCCGCCTTTCTTGTGTGGACTCGGATCGGGCATCGCTCTCAGAGCTGGGAACGCTTTCGAGGTCCTGCTTCTCGGAAGCAACTGCACGGGGCTCGAGGCTTTCGGTGGCTTCCGAGACCTCGGCGGTGGTGGCCTGCTCGGGGGCAGGCGTGGCTGTCTTCAGGTCCCACACGGGGACAGCAACAGGCGCCTGGGTATCCTGAGCAGGAGCGACAGCGTTTGTAGGAGCGCTGTTATTCGAGACGGGGGCCGCGCCCTGTCCCTTCGCAGCTTGTGCGTAAGAAAAAGTCGAAGGAGTGGCCATCTCGTTGGACTCAACGATCGCTGAGGGAGTCATGTCAAAGTGAGCCGTAGAGCACAGGCTGACGGTCTTCTGACAGGACGGTAAATGGTGAGCCGGAGGTGCCTTTTCACCTAGGGCCACCAACTGAGGCAAATGATGTCTTCGGGAAAAGAAGCCCGAAGATGTCTCTACCCCCTCCGCACACGGAGAGAGGCGCAGAGCACCCAATGTGCAAGGAAGTCGCTATTCGGAGACCCCCAACTAATGAGGGCGTCGACAGTCGTAGGTTCTGCGCGCAGAGTCGAAAATCGCGGAGAAGGATTCGAGCGGGAGATGGTGTTTAAAGTGAGAGGGGAGATGTCCGCTGAGCCGAGGGCTTTGGGCTAAAAAGAAAAAAAGAGTCGGATTGTGCGTCAACGTCGGGTACGAATCGAGGCAGAGATTCCAAACGGAAGGAGAGGAACGGCTCTGCTACGTCAGAAAGCGTTTGCTCGATCGGAAAAATGCTACCTGGGGTAAGCAGGCGGCGAAATTTCGACGAAGGGAGGACGGGGAAAGAGAGAGATCAAGCCGGCCAGGGTATCGAGGCAGCAACTTGAAGCGCTCTGCTCTGCTCTGCTCTGCTGTGCTTCAGGTGAGAACGGCAGGCAGCACGGATTGAGGTGGCGAGTCGATTTGCAGGGGACGGGACCGGGAGGCCTGAACCGTAAAACCAGAGCCGGAGTGTCAGGCGTTGCTTGATGCTTCTTGTCGAGGGAGACGGGGAGAAGCGGCGCAAAGCCTAGACAGGGTAACGGAAGAGGTTATAGCAATCGAGGCAACTGCAAATGCAAATGTCAAGGTGAAGCGGGGGAGGGGTAAAAGGGAAAGAAGAAACCAGGAGGAGGAGTCTGTCAACGGCAGCAGCAATTCTGTAGGAATTGGGCTGGCGAAGGGGAGTTGTGGTTGAAGGAAGGGTAAACGGTACGGGGAGAGAGGGCACAGCACGGGACCAGGGAAAGTGAAAATGAAGGTCGGAGGTTATTTTTTGCGTTGTGTGAACAATTAAATTTTTTTTCCTGCGTTTTTCCCCTCTCTACCCAGATCCGATCCGCACTGCACCGCAACAGACAATCAGTTGCTAGCGACGGTGCCGCGGGAGGGAGGTACCAGCGCCTTGTACCG